CCGTGCCCTGGCCCGCGCCGCCATGGCCCTGGCGCTGAGCGGGGCCTCCTGCGGGCCCCAGGCCCGGGAGGAGGTTGGGGGGCTCTCCCGGGAGCTGGGCGCCCCCGTGGCCACGGCGCTGCTGCGGGGGCTGGCGCGGTTACGGGACGCCCCGGCCCCCCAGGCCCTGCCGCTGCTCCTCAGCCTGGTGGGGCCGGGGGGCTCCCCACCACCACGGCCCTGCGTGGCCTCACCCCGGCGCCCCATGGCCGGCACCCACCCCCCCACAACCGGTGTGCCGGCCACGGGGCGCTCGGCTGAGGGGGTCCGGGGGGTCAGGGCTCCATCCTGGCTGCCCCCCTGCCGCCGTGCCCCCCGGCGCCGGCGGGAGGAGGAGGAGGAGAACGCCTGCAACCCGCCGGGGGAGCGGGAGGCCCATGGGGTGATGGAGTGGGTGCCGGGCGTCAGCACCTTCTACAACCTGGGCACCAGCATCTATTTCGCCTTCCAGGGCTGCGAGGCCTTGGCATCCACCCGGGCCCTGGAGGTGGCCGAGGACTTGGGCTACGCCGGCCTGGCCGCCATCACCGCCGGCGCCGGCGGCCCCGTGGCCCTGGGGATCCAGATGGGGCTGCAGCCGGGGATCAAGGCCGGGGTGCGGGCGCTCTTCCGCTACTTCACCTCGGAGGGGGACCCCCCGCCGTCCCCCACCGCCCACAGCGGCCCCGTCCTCATCGTCTGAATAAAGGCGCCGCGTGTGGCAGCTGGATCCCTGTCCCCGTCCCTCCCCGCCGGTCGATGTGGGGCCGCCCTGCCCTGGGGCACGGGGACCTTGGCCCCTCGGGGAGGCCTTGCCTGAGCCACGTGGTGACGGTCGCCCGGCCCCGCTCCCCATCCCTGTCCTTGTCCCCGTCGCACCCAGTGTGCCCAGCCCCATGGCCCCAGCCCCATGGCCCAGCCCGGTCCCTGCACCCACAGTTTGTCCCTTTAATCCAGCCCCATCTCTGCGGCCCCGGCCGTGTCCCCACAGCCGGGACCGATCCCAGTGGCTGCATCGTCTCTCCCCATGGGCTGTCCCCTGTCCCCATGGGCTGTTCCTGTCCCCAGGGCTCTGTCCCGGTCCCCACAGCCTGTCCCCTGCCCCACGGGCTGTCCCTGTCCCCATGGCCCTGTCCCCTGCCCCACAGCCTGTCCCTGTCCCCACGGGCTGTTCCTGTCCCCACGGGCTGTTCCTGTCCCCATGGCCCTGTCCCTATGGCCCTGTCCCTGTCCCCACAGCCTGTCCCCTGCCCTACAGCCTGTCCCCTATCCCCATGGCCCTGCCCCATGGCTCTGTACCGGTCCCCACGGGCTGTCCCTGTCCCCACGGCCCTGCCCCATGGCTCTGTTCCTGCCCCATGGCTCTGTCCCGGTCCCCACATCCCGCTCCGGGGCCGGCGCCGCCGGTTCCCCCTCTGTCCCCGCCCCCTCGTGACGTCATTTCGGGGAAGCGGGCAACCCCGCTGGAAGCCGGCGCTCGGGGCCGAGGGGGCGTGGCCTCGAAGCCGCCCTCCGCCAATGGCCGCGCAGATCCGGGAAGGGGCGTGGCCTCCGCTCCTTCCTGCCCCGGCAGTGGGGGCGGCCCAGGGCGCCGAGGTGGGAGC